CACACACACACACACACACACACACACACACACACATACATATATATATATACATACATACACACACACACACACACACACATACATACATAAAGTTGAAAGTTGTAGTAATTGTGCTCCCTGAGGTGAGACTACATTCCACTCTTCTAACCTCCTGGAAAGGCATTAAGACATACCTTTTAACCAAGAATATGCAATCATTGGGGTAACAGTTGACTTGTTGGTACTCCCTCCACTTTTTTAACTTGTCCTTGTATGAATTGTATTGTTTTTAATCTATAAACCATTCAGAATCATTTCAATAGTGAGATGGGCTATGTATTAGAGACAGACAGACAGACAGACAGACAGACTAGTCTATTATTTAGACTTTTACAGATAAATTTGAATTGTATTCGTAAGTTTGTATTTTTTATTTTGAGGAATAACTTTTAAGAAAATTATTTTAAATATTATGAGGAAAAGCCTTATATTAAGTTCAATGTATTATGCCAAACTATGATCATGATCAAGCCATTTCATTTGTAAAATATGTTAAACAAAATTTTTCCCATTCCTTTTGGTATCAATAATAATAATTTTCTCTGGCAAATAATTTTTCAATATTCACTGCATTGTGCTTCCAAGTTACTACAGGCTAACTGACCCAATGACCTATAGATCTTTACAACACTTTTTAATACACTGGCAATTTTTATGAAAAAAACTTTACTTTTAATTTCCAGCCCATAGAAAAACAACTGAATTCTGCAAGTTATAATATGATTAGAAGTGAATCTTAAATGATTCTTATTTACTTACCAATTCCATAAAGCATTAACTGAAAGATTCCAGAATGAAGGTCTACAAATATGTGTAAGCATTCAGATCGCCCGCAAGGCTCCAGAATAGAAATAACAAGTGTGGGGAGAGCCGTTTCTATAAAAGCTAAAGAATTGAGAATTCATGAGATGAGATGGAGTTTTAATTACAGAAATTTCAAGATTAAATGCAACTTTGGACCTCTGCAGGCTTCAATCATAAGAAAAAAAAAATCCTTTTTCAATAAAACTATTTTAATACAATTAGTTTAATGAGCATCAATACAATTGTATTTTCAAGGAATGTCATTTTGCTACCAACATTTCTTTCACTATTTCTACATATGAAAATTGAATGGAAAATAATGCCTCCATCCATAACTTTAGTCTAAACAGGGGTATTTTAATAAACAAATGGGAAAACAATCCTTAAAATGTTGCCGGTATTTACTTCTCCATATAATTGTAACCATTTGCTATATACTTCTGGCAAAGATTGGCAAGCTTCTTAAAGCTCATTTTCTCTATTCAATCAGGTCCTGAAAGTCCTCTTCACTTTGTCATCTGAGTCAGATATAGCTGCAAAGCTATACTTTCATGTTCAGAAAAAGTACTGTATATACTCAAGTATAAGCCTAGTTTTTCANGGCAGCAATAAACACAGATAAGGCTTGGCAGCAATCCAGCCTGCCAAACTCACAGTAATGTCCTCCGACATTCAATCCTGCATTGACTTCTGCAAAGAAGGGTGTGTGCACAACGAGTCTTTTTATAGTCTGGAGAGGAGCCCAATGACCACCAGCTCAGAGCAATTACCTCCTGTAACTGCACAACTGTTCCTGACGCCTAGTACGATGCCAGGCATCCAGGAATAACTCACTACTGGCATCCGGCTCACTCTCCCTTGTCTCCTCCCCACTGGTCCAAGGCTCAGGCGCCTCCTGGTGGCCAACCAGTCTCTCTGCGCCCTGCTTGGAGTTGGAACCCTATCCAGGGTCCTCCACATCCTCCAAAGCTGACTCATAGGGACCCTCGCTGTCGGAGTCTGGTGGCAGCTCCAACGGCTCCTGCTGAGCCACAACAGATAGGTATCCAAATGCAGAAGGAGACAAGGGGTAAGGCAGAGGGAACTTACAAACTTAGAACTTAGAAAGAAATATAGGATCCCGAGAGAGAAATATTAAAAAGTCATCAAAAAAGTCAATAAATAAAATTCTAAACAGGCTAGGAGATGATGGATAGAGATAAAATAGCTTGTTAATATGGTGACTGTATTAAAAATTAATAGAAAAAGTAGAAAGTATAATTTTGGAAAATAGTAGCTCACATATGGATAGATAATATAATTTATTATAACCACAAATATACTAAGGCTAGGAGGCGGAAGACTATGATTATTAGGTATATTTAAATGTATTATTATTATTATTAACAGTGTATAAAAATATGTTGACATTTATAGCTTTCAAGGACTATAAATTCAGGGGACTTAGAGATATAATCCCGGAACTGATCAAACTTTATCAATAATTGGTTTTATTGGTGTTTATAGAATGAGATATTGGAATTATGGTAGAACATTGAGTAATATCTAAAATATTGCATATTAATGATTCAACAGGGTCAACAAATACATTGTATGAAGAAGTATTATTGATGTTTAAATATATTTATGCAGAATATGACATATAAATCATAGGGAGAGAATTATATTGTTTAAAGGCAAATATGTGAAGGTAAAAGAACTCCAACAAATGGGGGGGGGAGCACAAATTGGGAAAATAATGTTATATATATATATATATATATATATATATATACACACACACACACACACACACACACACACACACACACACATA